CAATTTAAATTGGCAATATATTTAATAATTAACTATGAGTTAAAGTGACAAATAACAATTTTGTAGGGCTCTGAGAACCACCTTAAACATTGAGTTAAATAGAAGAGAGGAAACTTAATTACATTGAATTTCTAACTTTGTCATTCAGCGTATACACTTTTTACTCCTAATATCTCTTCAGACAGGGTTGTTTGCATATCACTCCACATGACTGTATGCTGGCTTTACGATTTCAGAATAAAAATTAATTACTATATGTCATAAATACTTAGTTGGATGATATCACAAGCTTACCAAATAAAAAAATCGTAATTTATTAATGTCTGACCATATTGTGCTATTTCTTATTAGCGGTCCTACAATACTCCGGTTTTCTAAGATGCAATGCTCGGCTTCGCCTCGGGCGACACGCTCCACGCGGCCGTACATCAGCCACTTTACGGTCTCGTAACGTAATATACTATTAAGAATCATTAATATTTATCAGCATGATACTAAAAGTTTATAAATAAATGTTAATTTCGTCATGCCTGACTATACCATGGTCGTTCTACTTGATAACCAGAACAAAAATATCACGCAAGATTTTCCATATCGCTGTTAGTAAGTGCTAAAACGACAAAAATAGATAATTGTTGTTGAGGTAAGGGAGAAACTAAGATAATGAAAGCAAAGAAGGCAGATTAGCTGATAAGATAATTCTGTTGCGGCACACGTGTTGCTCGTATACTATTTAATGCGTAGGTGTGTCGAAGGAAAGATTAGCGTACGATACGGCGTGAGGCTTAACGGGGTTTTTCTTCTCCTCTTGCACCTCCAGAAATCAGTCTTAATAGTCCCAAAGCATGTGCCGGACCCCATATACATTAGACTCCATGTACGTATACACCAATGCAGCAACGAGCGACAACACGATAGGGAATAGCGTGCCAGCTTTTTGCGCTTGCGTCTAAACTGTTGCACGAGCCAATTTAGCTGACTATGGTCTTTTGCTCGCCGGTGTGCGACGCGTTAATCGATCCCCCGACGCAATCACGGTAATGAATAAGTGTTCAACGGTATATACTGCCACTGCACACCACGAGTTTTATTTCCTTTTGTTTTTCTTCTTTCTTTTGTTGAAAATTTTCTCCCGCGAGCAGAAAGAAGAATGAGGGGCGAGCGAAACGTGGCAGGAGACACTATTATAGGGGAGACCATCAATCATTCGTCAGGGGACTTTCTCTTGTATACGTGCACAAGAGCACGCGCACACGGACGGATCCTTGGATATGAGACGGAAAAATATTCATTAAAATAAGAACGAAGCTTGCAACATTTTTAATCATCCATACAGTTGTGGCAATATTCCGGCTACTCCAGAAACAAGGGTCTTATGGACTTGGTGAGAAAATTACCAACAGCGATAAACATTTAACTAGGTTGAGAAAAACAATATTAAAATGTACAATCGACTTGCCAAGGGGGACAGAAGTACATGGCAGATCTTGGCAGCAGTACGCACATCTAGCCTAGAGAGAATCAGACAGGGTAGGTGTAGTAGAGCAAGCTGCTGGGGGTCGTGAGCCGAGAGCGCGCGCGCGACCACCACGACATGAAAGAGAAAGAGAGAGAGAGGGAGAGCCCAGGAGCGAGTGGCGTGGCGCTCAGTGCGATCGCGTATTTTGCCGCGCGCGGTTCTACGGGCCTACGTTTATTCGCTTCTCGAGTGCACCGAGGGGGGTGTATATAGGTTTCGCGGGCCACGCCGAGATCCCATACACCCCCACTGCCAAAGTCGCCGAGAATCACGCGTATCTCAAAAGGAAGATTATTGTTTGATTGCGATCGAGTGCGTCAACCGAAGAGGGGCGACGTTTAACGATTTGTGCGCAAAGTGTTTGGCTAGCGCATACCCTCGACTGATCTACCTATTTTCTTGTTTTATTTTTTTTTTTTTTTTTTGCATCACCAAAAGTTTTTTGGTGTGAATTTTCAAAGTTTTATCGAGAGGCTGAAGATTATCACCCTAAGTTGTTGCCAAAGTGTTTCAAAGTCAAAGTAGTGGATAAAGTTGTTGGTTTGAGAGTAAGCTTTTTTTCAAATCATTACCTCATCTGCGAACTAATTTTATCATTTGTATTACACGCTATACTGATGTTTTTTTTTTTTTTTATGTCCATATGGATCGCTGAAAAAATTTTTTAGTAACGATTATGAGTTCAAAATTTCACCCTAGTCCCTTGTAGTTGTAGAAAGGTCGTTAGTTAATAAATTCTAAATGAGTATGCTTGGGCTTGAAATGAGATGGCATGTAAAAACTTACGGCAACGCCTGGCAACAGCACTTGATAAGTGTTATGAGCTTCTTATTATAAACAATAATTCGTATTGGTTTTTTTTTGACAATGCCTTTTCTTTTTCAGGGTTGCCAAGTGTAATAACTCCATTCCTGTAAGTTGGATGTTGTACAGCCCAAAAAATTTTACATAAGTATACTCTTTTCTTTCTTACTTTTTTTCTTCGCATTTATTTTGCGTGTGCGTCGGAAGGTCACAACGAGAAAATTTTTTTTTTTTTTAATTTTATTANTCAGTTTTTTTTTTTTTTTTTTATTCTTTTGTTTCAGTAAAATTCAAAAAGTATTAGAAAAATTATTTCATAAAACAGGTGTCTGATCATTGCAATTGATGATATATTGAGCATATTTTTGACTTGATGTTAAAATAATAAGCAATACAGATTTCTTTCGGTACCTGGGAAAAAAATTTGAAAGAAGATAATTTATTATTCAATTCAAACTGTCGATCGTATCAAGTCACCCATTGAATCCGAGAAAGACAAATGATCGAAAAATTTCGACTGATTCAATGATATGCAAATCAGAAAACAAACGTACTAACATGAAATTTCAATTGACTACGAAATTTGGATGCCGAATAGTGGTGTGGTTTTATTCATTCCGAGTCGATAACTTTTTTATCTTTTAACAATCTTTTTTTAAGCCCAGCAGTAACTCTTCTACGAAAAAAATATTTTTTCTTTTAAATACATAAATTTGAAAACGTAATATTTTCATGTCCATAAATGATGCAGCTTTAATTCACTATTTATTGGTTATAAAATTAAGAAAATAATGTCAGTTTATAGCGACAATTTTACGAGAGATGGTAAAAAAAATTAAGGTACGCAAGTACCATAGGCTTTCTCATCCGATCTCGCTACGTTTGTCATACCTAGTCACAAGTTGTTTAAAATTCTTATCAATTCCAAGCACTAGGAAAAATCACGTAAGCAACGCCAATTTTTTTCCTCACTCTGAAAACTTGCTTTTATTTCACATGTCTCTTTTGTCCACTGGAAAAATACGTTCTAATTAAAAATCAAAATAAAAAAAGTAAAAAAATTCGTCAGTTTTGACAAAAAAAAAACTCTCGTCTGATTGGAAAAAACCCATTAGCGTTTGTTGCTATTCGATCGCCCGGCCAATCATTGAACTTGTCAAAAGTCCGCAAACGTGCAAAAACAAAAAAAAAGGTAGAGAGAGAGAGAAAACAAGACTCGCAAGCACAAGCTACTCCGTGACGCTGGATAATTTAATTGGTAATTATCAATTTAAATTGGCAATATATTCACGGCGACGTTCCCTGCAACCCCTTGGAAAGCTCGTGAGCTTCACCCGCGATACTTATATATATATACACACTGCGGAGAGGCGCGCCCAAGCTTGAAAAAAAAAAAAAAAGAAAGAACCGAAGGAGGGAGAAAAAAGGGATCTGTTTGCAAAGCTGCAAGTTAAACGAAAAGCAACTTTTAATTAGACTTCCCTCCCCCCGAGTGTCACCGGCGATCTCGGCCGAGATAATAAATACGAGAGCGTGAAAACTAATAAGGGATCGACGGCTGCGGGCTCACGCCTCGAACGACAAAAAACAAGCAAAGAATAATAAATCAGTACCCATACGAGCAGTCGAAGGAAAGGTAGATACCGGCAGCGCGTGCAATGGGATATAACCACGCCTCATCTCCTTCGAAGCGTATAGGAGGGGGGGGGGAATGATCGGCTGTACGGCCGTACGTGTCCTCGCGCGGACGCCTCGGTTACATCAGTTTTCGGGTCATCCCACCCTCTTTTGTGCCCACTTACCATAGTCGGCGAACTTTGCTCGTTTTATCCCACTTCTATCTTCGCCTCCTCGCATACAATCGATGCACCTTCTTCTTCCCCCAATGGAGCAGCGGCGGTCTGAGCCGCCCCTTATCCTCTTACGTTCATTCAACACCGGCTTCCCCAAGTGGAATTCATGATCGCGTTTAGATTCGCTCGCGGAAGGAAGGACGAGCGTACGTAAGAGGGTAACGTGGCGGACAATAGGCCGTGTGCCATATACGGCGGGGGGCGCCTGTCCCTACATACCTGCCAGTTGGTGTGAGTACGCGTGTATTATCTCTCTATGTGTCTTCCCCCCCCTTTCGCTTCTCGTTCTAGATTAAAGAGTTCAAGGGTCAAAGGGAAGTTATACAGCGCTGTATAATCGGCTTGTCGAGTTTTCTCTTTGCATTGTACTGCCAACAGATCGAGCTTTGATCGAGTATCGTTCCCTGGGATTTGTAAAATGTCGATTCACGTGATTAGCTGTATTAAGCTCCCCGTGAAAACAAATCCCTCGAAAGCACAGAGTATTATTACTGAACCTCTTTGAATTAATAGAGAAGTTGCACTCGAACGAGAAAAATATTATTTGCTCACGATCCCTAACTAATACCTTTTTTATGCATTTTTCTCTACTGCCCGGTAATCCCTGCCACCTAATTATAATCGTACCGTTTATATAAATCAAAATTTGTATGATCTACTTATTAACGGGTGAATGTTAAAACCAACCACACCAGAAATCAACGACAGCGCTCTTATTTATTTTTGGAGGTCAGTCTTTCTCACTCACCGATCCGCAAAAGAGCCGTTTCATTGTGATCTTCGTTCGCAACCGTCGCATTAGCTTACTCATGGTGGTGCGTAGGTGCACCGATTAAAAATCCCCTTGGTCTAGTTGGTAGGCGAGCGCTCGCAGTTACCACCGCGTCACGAGCCAGTCTTGCTTTCGTCGCTCTCTCTCTCTCTCTCTTCCTCTTTATTATCCGCTCGATGGCGAGGGTCCAGCTACGAATTACGCGCTGAGTCGAGCTACGGTTACATCTGGTGGCGAATCACAGAGGCGGAGCTCGTTGCGGTTAACAGTCGCACACGAGTATACGCACGGGAACTATACTATACATAGAGAATCGGTGACCTATGCCCCGTTTGGCTGGTGCCTTTTTTCGAGAATAAACTTCCTCGCGAAGAGGAAAACAACCATAATATCTCCACGATGACGTAAATTTCTGCTCTCTCTCTCTCTCTCTCTCTCTCTCTCTGTTTAATGCCCCTATCCTCCTTGACGTTGGCTCTAGTTACTTTTTTTCCCCATCCATTCTTCCTCTGTGGAAGCCGTGCATATGCCCTCTTTTTTAGGTCTCGAGCACGACGCGCCAAGCGAGATCTTAATTACACGTCACCCGAGATTCTAACAATTCTTAGCTGGGCTACGTCTTGTTTAACTTGCCGTAGCGTTTGCTTATTAGGGTACAAAGGATACCCCGTGCAGTAGTAAAAAATCCAGGAGCCGGTCTAGAGTTTCAGAGAGAAAGTTGCGAGGATTGCGGACGTTGGAAGGGCTCCCTGGGCACAAATGCGTACTTTTTTAATTAAACTAACGGGTAACATACTGTTTCGTATCAAACAATCGGGTGGAGACTTTTTTTTCAAAGGCCAAATACTCGTAAAGGTAAAAAAACAATTGTAAGGCCGGATTCAGTAGTAAAACCCAAGTTTGGTCAGACGCGAGCTAGAAAGTATACTATGTACTCTTGACACTCGGCTCGAAGGTGTACGTATGGATGGCACGTTACGGCATCGTTCGCGATAGTATCCATAATTCAAGAGGTCCGTCGACAGCTTTATATTTTCGACATCCGCTGCTGATGAAAAACAAGCGTGCAAAACTTTTGGCCTCGTAAATATCAGAAAACAAAAATAAAAGAACCAAAGCCCTTTTGCAACCCAAGCCCTGCTCTTTTTTTTTATTTTCGCCTCCCCTCCGCACTGTATACGTCCACCTCGTTCGTCCATTTCAGTGCTCATCCATTCGTGCATCCGCCGCACACCAATCGGAGCCTATAAACCCCCGCAACCGAGACCCACGGCTCGCCCTGTAATTCCTTTCCATTTCCAAGTGCAAAAAGCATCGAGGAAACAAACGGATAAAGGGAGAAGGCGCCTCGTAATAAACTCGATCCGTCGCCGGCGTGATTAGATTCGCACCCCTGGACGCGCAAGCCGCGCTAAATTTTCTTCGACACGAGGACGACCACCAAGACACTCGCTCGTGCGAATCCAATCACTCCTGCACGTTACGAACGCGCTTGTCTCCCCTGACCCAGACATCGGTGGAAGATGGCCGAGTTGTGTAATGGCTGGGAGGACCGCTGGCGACACTCGACTTGCGGTGGAGGAAAATTGTCTCGTTTCTCTGTCTCGCGCTGTAACTACGTGGACGTCCCAGTGAAATGTAAAAGTTAATTTTTTTGTTAGAAAAGGCGGTCGGTGTGCAAAAACCATTCGCTACGGAATTCAAGTTTTTGAAAGATTGAATAGCTGAGTGCCTTTTTTCTCCCTTTCCGAGAGCGAGAGAGACCTGTAATGGACTTTTTTCGTCCCCCCGTACAATTGAGTACGTAATAAATATCGCGTCTGATATTAAATTTTACCGACGCTGTTATTTATGGACGAGACGGTATGGCTTCTTTTACGGACGATGACGCACCCTATACCCTCTGAGGAGCGATTTCAGCTGAGATGTTCTCTCGAGATAGTCGCGTGATTGCGTCGTTAGAATTTTTAGGTTTGTTTGTAATCATTATCTTGGGTTTCGTCGTGATTGAATGACTGAAATCGAGCTTTTTATCGTAAAAGCTATTTACAGCTGCAGTTCCTTGGTGATTTTTTTTTTTTTTTTTTTTTAATATTTTTTTATTTGCAGCTCGTGAGTTCCCCTTTAACTTTCAGCGATCTATGTTGGACGAAGGGATTATAATAAATAATTATTCATTCAAAAACTGAATCTCTTTAAATGGTAACAAGCTCCTCTCCAACGATAGCACGGTTATTCAGATTTTGAAGTATTCTAAGGTTAACGAAGCGTCATAAACTTTTCGACATTATGCAAATTTTTTCAATTTACAATTTTACCATTCACTGTGTTAAATTTCGTAACTTATGCAATGTTGAGCACAAGTAACTTTAGTTTATGTTAATTGCATTAAAGCACTCGACGAAGGCTCCTATGATGTAGCCGAAAAATTGCAAATAATGTAAAATAAATTAATTTGAAACGAATAACGTACTTTGTACTTATTAAAAATTTGAGTAAATTGACGTTGCCAAGGCTGCTCTAGATTTCCTTAATTCGCGATTTTCAAATACATAGTTGGTTTAATTTTTTCAGTGGAAGATTTCGACGTCGAATAGTTTACAATCAATGTGTTAATAAATGACGTGGTAACATTGAGCCCCTGTAACCATGGTAAACGTAAAGTGACTGTACGCAAACACGGCAGAAAAAAAAGTGTGATATATAGTGCGCGACAGCTGAACTGAAAGAACATGATGATCAAGAGTTCGTGGTGAGCACCAATCGACAACAATGGCATCGACCATCCTCGTCTTGATTTGCGTCGAGCTGTTGACCATTGCCGTGGGACAACGGGGCAGGTCCGATAGCTTGGACAAGGAGCCCATGCAAAAGACTGAAATGGAAATTCCCAGTACGTATATATACCTTCGTTGCATTATTAATTAAATAACTTTCCTTTCACGCATTGTAACTCATAATGTAATTAAAAATTTTTTATGCATTAAGATAATGTGACACAATGTATCAATTGTTACCGTTATTGTGAGAATTTACATCCATTAATGGAGTTGTGAAATATTCAATAATTTATAATCAAATACTCCCTTTCTACGACATTATGCAAATGAACAAAATGCACGTATTCCACGACACACTCATTGTTGTACTAAAGCCCGACTTTATCTGGTAGGTACAAGGCAATAAAGGGGGGGCTAATGGGGAGGAAATATTTAGCTACACGATAAAAAAATTATGATTAAAATTAATTTATGCTATTACAACTACTAATGACATCAGTACTCATACTAGGTCAAAACACATGTACCCCCATAATAGTAACTTTAATTGGTCCCAAGTGTCCTCCGCTTCCTGCAGTAACCGCGGGTGCATTCGTGGTTGTTTGGAATCTCGTATTTAACGTCGAATGTAAGCTCAATTAGTATCCTTATCCCTCAAGACACCCCGTGATAAACAAAACACGGGTCCATAGACTGGGGAGAAAAGCTGAACAGCGCAAGTTATTCTCATCGAGTACAAATGCACCCGCGAGGCTTTTGCCCATACGCGTACCAGCTCCCGCCGCAGAGCGACCGACGAAACTTTGTCCCCCGGCGCCCGTGGCAGGTCCTCCATGGCTGGACGGGAAAAGGGACCAAAAAAAAAAAAAAAAAAAGAGTCCCCGCTTCCCGCCCGGCCGTCTTTGACGTACGGCCGTACTTTTAAATGGAAAGCGCCGCGCGGTCAAACAGCGCCGAACTTCAGAAACAAATGTCAGTTCTTCTTCCGTCCCGGGGCCGCGACCACGAACAATGGGTCCGCGCGTCTATCTATCCGTCCATCCCTTTTCCTGCAGCCCCAAAAACTGGGTCACCCAATGGCTCCATCGGTGATTTACACTGCTACGTGACAATAAGCCGATCCCGATAGCTGGAATTTCGCGCAAAGGAGCCAAAGATAGGGTGGGAAGGGGAGTATATTGTACATCACAGAGATAAAGGTGGAAGGGGGGGGGGAAATAATTGAAAAGGCTACCGCTCTCGGGGGGAGATTATCGAGCGCACCTGACCCTCCTTCCCTCGAAGACGCAAAACGCTACCCTTCGCTGTGTCTCGAGTACACCAAACAAATCGGGAGTGAGAAAGGGGGATAAAAAGATGGTCGAGGAGGCTTGCAGTGGCTCTCGAGAGGAAGCCCGCTCTCTGCCTAACGGCGGGACACTCGAGCCCCTCCACGTGTATATATATATATGCCACACCGGGGCCCAGCAGACGCACAATGGCTTCACCGAGAGAGGGTAGTTGGCCGACCGCGCTCGCAAACTTTCCCCGTGAGCTCTCTCGAGTCGCGCAGTTTCGGGACTCGAGCTGGCCTGCTCTCTCGGAAAACAAAAAGGGGATATTCCCACCCCCCACCGCCTCCCTCTACCTGGGAAATCGCTTTAAAGGGGTGGGGGCTAACTATCAGGTTAGCGATAACCTCGTTGTTGGCGGGGGGTGGTCGAGAGTGGGTCTTCCCGGCAAGGAGAAGCCGCTGATCCGAAACTGCAACGGAGAAGACGGAGTTTGAGAATGGGGTTGCGGCGGCGTCACGGGTCCTCGGATTAACGATAACTTTGTTGGCCCGATGGGCGGGAATCAACATCGGCTTGCCGCTTGTCTTCCCTAATTTCGTTGCGACCCAACGGACCTACTCTGTCGACTCGGGACTCGTGCCCTCGTGTTTTTTATTTATCCGCGACTCGCTTCTTCTTTCCGCTCGGCCGAGTACACCGGGGATCAGCACCTCTGCTCGGGTGGCGTTAATAATTCTCAAACGTGGGACGCGAGAGAAAAGGGAATGAACGATGGGACGGGATTATCTTCCCGAGTGTGTTTCAGATGCGCCCTGGCTCTCGATTTATTATTGACGCCGGGGAGGGGGGGGGTGATGTTTTTCCAGAGCTTGACGCGAGCTAACGCTGGTATACCTATTATTCATCCAAAGGAGCAAAAGTTCCTTTGGTAATCGAAAATTGCATTACAACGATGAATAAATGAAAACTAGAAAACGCATGGTTGTTATAGCGTATCAGGTATACATCGTCTCTCTTTGCGAGCCGGTAACCAAACACCCACAACTCTCGCGCTCGCTCGACTTTCGCGTCGATAGGGACGAAGGCCCTCTCTCTCCTTACGTTACGTATAGCCGTGTGCCCGGCGCTATCTTCTTCCACCCTCGCGCCTTATCTTACGCGCGAAAGAGCGGAGCTTGCGAAATCCGGTCCGAATATTATTCGCCGAAACGCGGCTCGAGGATTCCCCGGGTGAGATATACCACCCCCCCCCCTCCACTGTGTATGTGTTTGTTCGCGTTAGAAATTCTAACTCTGTGGGCGTAAGAACGCGAGCTCGTAAATACCCGTGCTAAATCGCTCTGGCTTTTTATAGGCGTACGCTTTTCCCGTGTTATGGAAATAACGCGATTACCGATATTGTTTGTGCACGGCTAGTCTCGCGTATTGCACATAAGTTCTCGGTTGTTGGTGATCCCCCTCCCGAATATAAGAGGAAAAATAATGGCTGTAGCGTCGAATAACGAACCAAATTAAATCCAGTAGACGTGTACTTTCGCAACACGGCGAGGAAACGGCAAGTCGCAAAGATACATCGTAACTCGAAACGTCGGAACTACTGAGAAATTTCTCGGTGTGAGATTACACTGTGGGCCCGATTGCCGGGACGCGCGAACGGGAGCGGAAAGAGAGCAAAAGGTACACAGAGACGAGTCAAGTCGTGCGTCTCATAAAATTACCCCCGAGCCTTATTACAGGGCCATTCATGTACTCCGCCCCACTGGAACTAAACTTCCGCAACTTCTTACCCGGCTGCTCTCGTTCCACCCCCTCCCTGTCCTATTGTAGGGTGGCAGGTATTCTAATTTTACGCATTTGGGATTTTACCCGCGTTTGTTTCGTCAAATTTTCCCTTTTCGCGTTTCGAAATGGTGGGCGTGGCGTTTTTGGATGAATATTCAGGGATTCGGGATAACTCCCCGCTTTCGTCCGGCGAACGATTTTCCAATTTTTCGGCAACTATAATAAACCTTCATACTTTCGGCTTCCAAGTGAGGTAGCGAACAATGAATTCATCAGAGGAGACAAAAAAAAACCACCCCCGTGCCCTGATGTCAAACGATAGTTTCGCTACTCGCAAAATTGTTTTTTCTCCTCGATCACGAAAATATTATCAACTGGCAAGTGCAAGTAACATCATTATATTCACACTGCAGCAGTGCGGGAGGTAAATTTTTACTAGCTCGTCGATTCTTTTTCCCTCGGCGCCCCATTGAACAAAGAACAAAGAGCCGGCGTTGATTGTCAACGGTGACAGCGCGAGCGGATAACCTGATGAATTTCCAACCATACGGGCCGATGATACCCGCCGCCTGTGTACCCTCGCATCTCGTTATAAGGGCCAGAGGGGAGGGGGATGTCCGGCAGACCGAGCAGTTTTTTTTACCGCTTTTGTACCCCCGATCAATGCCAACGGATGAGTGTTTAAACGCTCCTACAACAGCGAATTCCCGCATCAGCCCCGGCGAGGCTTGTTATCCCCGAACGAAGGGTAGGGGGTAGCGGTCCACCAGCTCTTTTTTTCCCAGCCTGTTAGAAGACACACGCGGAAGCGCGTCGCTGGTAATACCATTACATCGCGAAACGAGGACATAGTCAAAGGTGGTCGGGTGGGGGGTAGTGCATTGTTGCTCCTCGTGTGATGTTTAATAGACACGGAGCGCTCGTCAATAGGGCCGACGCGATCGTGTGTTATCACGTGTATATATACGATGCCGACAGTGTGCGCGCTCGGCTGCCTCTGGAGGATCTAATTAATTTTTTATGAACGTTGCGCGGCGGTTCGGGGGGAAAATTGACTCCCCGGTGCGTGGACGACCATAAAAACGACTGTGTACCCACTTTCGGTGGAACGGCTCCGATGAAAATTATCATAAATCAAGTGGCTGGCTATACAATTGGTTTCTTTGATGTTGTACTGCAGCATATATACACAGTAACCGCGAGGCCGTGTAATTTATTCGATTTACGAGATGATCAGCAGCCCGCCAAACGGTGTTGCTGACGTTGGAGCTCGGCAGTGTAACCTCGGAGGCCTCGTTTGTAAAATTACCGTAACGGAACGCAAAAATTCGTGCCACGGGAGACGCGCAAATAATTAGCATCATCCCACCCCCCTCTTTCTTCGTCCCTCCCGAACTTGCCAATCTTCCCTTTGTTGAGAACTCAAAAGTTCTAGCTGGCACCTCGACGAAGGACGGGACGTGTATACATCAGGTGGAGCTGTTACGTAGCTGCAGCCAATAAGCTTCCATTACTCTCTACATGTGCGCCCGTCCTATCTTGCTCTTGGCCATTGAATTGGCTTGCATATCTTCGTCGGCCAGACCACACCTGTGTGTACATGCGCGTATTGTGTAACACACGCTGGGCCGCAATGCGAGTACGTATCTCTGGTATCGATAATCAATTACCAGCTGGCTGACTACGTTGCTGGTGTATTGCAAGTTACCCAGTACATATGTGCCTTTTGGGAGGCTTCTATATGCCACAAGGAAATAAGGAGGTCGTACTGTGTGTGTCGGTTCTTGGATCTTATACCAAACCATGTATACCTCTCTATTGGAGTAGGTACAAACGGACCCGTTAAATGATGAGCTATATCTAACGAAGGTATCAGAAATATGTGATGTTTTATTCTCTTTTGTTTACGAAAGAAACCATTTGTACTTTTTTGTCGATAAAAATTCTGGACATGATACGTTTATACAACGCATGATGAGCATTCTCATTTGACATAGTTTCCAAATACTCCAAGTACACGGTGTCAAGTGTCAAAGGATGGTTTTTACCTTGCCATCCTCTGACGAAATGTGGCCGCACACCGAAAAGTGCATTTTGAAACTGAAAGTGCAAATTCTTGAGCTCGAAGAAGAAGAAAACTCATCGGAATCGCAATCATCCCTTAACCATAGTACATCTCGATCGTCAAAACGCCCTTAAAGCCGAATATCTTCCGCCAAAGGCTCATCCCAACCTGCCTATAGCGCACTCGGCCGCCTAAGCCTCGAGTCAGTCCTTGAAGTGCTCTCGCGCACAAACACACGCCCGCAATCCCTGAAAGTGCGCTAGGGGGGGGAGGGGGTTGGCACTGCAAACATCCACCCCAAAGTGGTTAGCCCGTGGGTGCGCGATTGCTCGCAATCGTTGGCGAACGGGGAGAGAGCGAGCAAGTTCGGCAAGGAGCTCAAACTGGGAAATCTCAAAACAAACGCGTAAGAAATCCCCCGTCGGTCCAAAGGAATCTCCACCGCGTCTGGATGGAAATCCCGTTTTCGTATTTTCTCGCGCGCCTCCCCCATCAGCCACCAAAGCCTCGATCATCCTTCTCATTAGGGGAAACCACTGCCATTCTGCCCCTCTCTGAATACGTGCTCTCTCTCTCTCTACTCAATTAGCGCGATAACCAATTGTCATCCATCCGGTTTCAAGCTATACGAGGTTCACTGTAAGACGCGTTTCCAAGGCCCGGAGATCGAGTATGAGAATTCGGCTTTGTGTGTGTGTGTGTGTGTGTGTGTGTGTGTATGTACCCTCCCTTCGTCCTTGCTGGATCGAGGTGTAATATATTATTGTTTGTTCCCTTCTCGAGCTTGGGACTCGGGGGTAAGTAGAACGAGATACCGATTCTTGTGTCCAACGGTTGACCGTTGCACGGGGATGAGGGGCAGGAAAAAAAGCCACCACCGATAAAATACTGCTGACGTTGTATCCCTTGAAATATTGAAAAATGCCGGTAATTACGAGTAACGAACCGGCATGTACCGCTCGCTTTACGCGAGGGATAAAAATTAACAGCCGCCCACACGGCTCGCGTTCTGATTTACGAGTCCACATTATCGGCCGCACTCTCTCTGTTTCTGCGCCGGGGAATCATAACGCTTACGTACTTACACTGTAATGGTCGTTAAATTAATTAAAAGCGATATTGAGACCCATTTTAATTTTCATTTTGTATCCGAGAGCGAGCGCATATAACGTCTAATCTCTCGCGGTGGCTCTCGTTGTATTACACGGCCGTGGTAATTAAAATTGACGATTATTCCGGGAATCCGGTCGATGATCCGTTAAACTTAGGTATATAATACAGTGTAATCTGCCAGATCTTTGTTGTCGAGCAGAATGTTGTCGTTCATAGGTACCGTGCAGTCAATTAAATTTGCTTTATTTTCAAACAAATCACTATTTTGCCCAAAAACTCAATGAAAATTAACCGTATGAGAGATTATTTGCCATACTTTGAGCGCGACTAATGAATAAATAGTAGTAAAAAAAAAAAAAAAAAAAAAAAAGGTTTAATCGAATCTTGGAAATTTGTTCTGGAAAAAAAGTACACCCACTGCTTACGGTGTACAAGCGAGTGCAAGCAGAGCAAAGTTAATTAACTGGGAGTGATACACGCGCGTCCAAAAACTACCTTTGCGAGCTCAGCTTCTCTCTCTCTCTCTTTCGCTGCTATAGCCGAGGCAAAACTGCATAGGCACTGACTTCTGTCAAAAGTATGAGCTCCAATTTGAGCGATGAATCAGAGGATAAAAGGACCAATACCCTGACGTAGAGCTCGCGTGCATGTGTCCAAAATAGTGTATTTCCCTTCGTAGAGAAAACACAGCAAAAGCAATTCCGGACTTGTTTGGAGCTCGGGGCTGGGCTTATAAAGCGCAAGACATATTTATCTCGAGGCCACTGTGGAAAACTCTCTCCCTCTCTCTTTCTCTCCGTGGGGCGTGCGAGAACGGATTCTCGAGTGTAAATAGGCTGCATTCGACGGTATACGAATATCAAGTGCAAATACTTGCTTGTTTGCGTCTGTACGTACGTTCGTGCGTGTGTGTTCTCGTAGAGAAATAAATGCGGAACCGACTCTTATCGATCGATCCGCGAAAAACAATTTTTTTTTCGTACGCAACTTTGTAGGCTTTGTTTTTTTTAAAAAAGCACCCAAGAAGAATGATCAATGTTGTCCTATATGATTTGAAGCAATTTTTCAACAAACAATCTTTGCGTTGTTTTTCGACCAAGTTACGTCAATTCTAAACTGTCACCCCTTCTATTTCCCATGTGGATCAATTCGTCAATAACAAAAATAATCCTCAACGTTTCGCGAAATTGATCGTTTCCCATACCTATACCCCGATATATTCATTCGAAGTTGTTAACCACCAACGAGCAGCTTTTCACGTGTAAACAACATCACAATGGCCCGAACACGCAGCGCTTACAAATGTTAATGATAAATCAGGGCCACTGCAGTACAACGAGCTATTTCAGACGAACGAAAAGCTCGATGCCAACCCGAGCGATTGCCAATAACTATATTTTAAATCACCGTTGTGACAACGTCGTCGTGATCCCGGATATCGTGTAAAAGGGTTTAGCATCCTCGCGCTCCAGGGACCGGGATATGTATCGATCAGTGAAAAAACAATGTTGGGTGCATGCGCCGTTGTTGCCGTCACAATACTAGCCATTCGCCACTATAATTATCAATACATACGCCGCTGCGTGTTCACCCGCAAACTGACGTTTGTTCCACGCGCGTATGTCACCCTTCGGTGGCGGGTATTGTTATTCCCTACGCGTTGACCAGCCGGTGGTTAATGAGGCGCGCGTCGGGCTTATTACCCGTTTGCTTTCCGTTAACGGCCATTGAGCCCCAATTCAGGGGCTCCGCATCAATGTCCTTCGGTGCATTTTTCTCAAACGTCATAATGGCATGACGCTCTGGTGGTCGTATTCTCGACAGACAATATACTGCAACTCGACTTTCGTGTGTTTGACGGGCACAAACTTTTTTTCTTTTTTTTCTATTTACACAGCATTCGATTGCGCATCTACACCCACGTAAAGGCGATAAACTCAAAGTAGTTCACGTGCGCGCTCAGAGTCATTCCTCAACGAAGCACCATAAAACGCCCGCGTTTGTCATAAATAATGGCGATACGGAGGTAAGAGAGCCATTAAACTGTGAAAAATAGATATATATCCCCGAGTACTCCAAGAAAAGTATTGGGCGCACACGCACGCATCTGTTTACACAAAGGGGCATCGCTCATTCACGCGCGTCTCGTTAAACTTTTAGGCGCTCACATATGCAACGCGTACAATATCAAAAGGAATTTCTTTTTATTGCAAAGAATAGTCTGTGCGTAGTGGATAAGTTGGAAGTTATTAACTCAGCTGTACGCGTACAATGGCACGCTTACAGGCATAATGGACAAAGAGGAGGAAAATAGGGAGTCTCCCCCCCGCGCATGAGCGATTAAACTCCGCCGGCATTCCTGTTTAATTGAACGACGCACTGCGCCCTCGGTCCACTGGGATAATGAATATGGTGTGCGGCTGAGGCTCCTCCGCAACGAGCTTGGAATTTTCCGCGCTCTCGTGTTGCGATCATACGTTAAACTCCATCTCACGAGAGCGTGGCCCGCTTTTTTTTTTTTTTTTTTTTTTTTTTTTTACATTGGTACGTTAGTATTATGTACAAATTTCTCAGCTCCTTTGTTCCGACTTGCGTCTTTTTTTTTTTTTTTTTTTTCGTTTCGCACGAGTTGTGCGGGCACGCGCGCGCGATAGCGGGTATCGCCGTGCTTTGACTATTCAGCGGATATTCGGCTGGCAAATGTTGACTTTGGGATGTCGTTATCTTCGCCAAAGTGCTTAGGAGCGTAGTTTTGTTGAATATTCAGGTGTGCGGTGTATTTTGCGTGGTTTTCAGCTGCGCGCGGGCGTGCCTATACAAGGAAGTTTCACGATGTACACACGCGTACGAGAGAGGGAGAGTTAAAAAAGTTACGGGCGCCTCGCGTTTGCTCGAGATTTTGACAAGAAAATAAATAGCACATGGAGAGAGGGGGGGAGGGGAAAGGGAACTAATTTTATAATACTGCGCGATGCACGAGTGCACGAATTGAACAATGATCGCGAGAGGAGGCAAACGTAATTAACGAGTTCAACGAAATAAATTACGTGTCGTGACTCTCGTGTTTCGCGGTACAACGAGGGGAGGAAGAATGGCACTTTGAAGCTTCTTATCTACGCGGCGCATAAATTGTTGTTGTTCAACGGCGTTGCGGTTGGCAGCGTTTATTATTCCGTGATTAAATGCGTCGAACGTGATATTTCGCGCGTTACGCCGGATAACAGATAATATCCGGCGTCAAGCTCACGCATCAAAATTAATGCTCCGCAGAGATAACACGCGAGCCTTGCCTTGTTTTACCCCCACAACTAATTTCCAAAATTACTTCTCCCTCTCTGCTCTCTGCTTTTCACAAGATAATAATTATCATCGTGTGTTGGCCATGTACCGCGTGTTATTTTGTGTTTTGGCAATAAAATGGCACCTGATAATACGGTTATCTCAGAATTGTTTTTTAAACAGTTATTCAGCTCAAAGCTTTGAAAATGTCCAATTTCATTTTTTTTTTTTTTGTTTTTTTTTTCTGTTTCAGTAAGTACCGTTACGGTGCAAGGGGTGGCGGGACAAACAGCGTCCCTTCCCTGCGACACGCAGACCCAAGACAAAAACGACGCCATAACGATGGTCCTGTGGTTCCAAGAGTCGACCGACGAGAACGTGTACAGGTAATTTAGCTTGTTTCTTTTTTTTTTTTTTTCTTTTTTACAACCTTCCACCAAGATTTTTTAAAATTTTTCCTCCTAAAGGAGTGCTGGAACACAATTTTTTTTTGTCTTAAGTACGAGAAAAACCAGTGTTCACATGTCGAGCAATGAAATTGTCGACAGCTCGTTTTCCCCCCGCCAGCAAGTCATTTGGATGTCAGCCTCAGCCAAACGACCGAAAATATTCCTTTGGGATGCACTATCAGGAAAATTAGCAAACTACCGTTTCCCCGAACAACTTACACCCCCCGGGAAGATTTGCAAACGGTAACAGATGACGCGCCGCCGGGGAGATTTACCTTGAAAACGTGGCGAAGACCCCACAATCAAAATTCAGAGCTCCGGGAATGAAACACCACGCGTTGCTATCCTCGAAACTTTTACGCAGCAACCAATCGAAAATCGATTAATGCTCGATCGTCCGGGTGTAGGGCTCGTCGAGTGGCGGGTACTCGACGGGGGACGAAATTGAATCCCTCCGATCGAAAAATGCTTTCGAGTGCCCGATTTTAACGTTTTCAAAATCGTACGATCGACAGTTTGTTCCAAATCCCTCTCCAATTCGTTGGATATGAATTATAATCAAACATCATTGAGGGCAACCAGAGTCAAGCGCATAGCTATGCCCGGGAGGAGCTGACGCATCGACGACACGTGTGAAACGGACGTCTCGTAATTGGGTGACTGCAGGAGGCTCCGAGGAGCGCACAAAGAGGGAGGGAGCCGTTAGCCGGTTGATCGGCATAGCGTTTCACTCGGACGACCGAGCGACTCCGATGATTGATCGGGGGGCACGTATAGCACTGACTTCTCTGGGCCAAATCACACGCGTGTACGTGCATGGGCACTGAGTACCGGGGCTTGGTTGGATATTTTGTCGGGTCCCCTAATCAATGGTCGCGCGTGGGCTGATGGTACTATTCTGCGGGTCGTTTAATAAGGGCTGCGGCTTGGCTGCCACGCCTAACACTCGTTTTCCCTCGCCTCCGTGCAATTTACATGCGGTGAGGCCGGCACGGCGCGCGTAATTTATTTCGGATAATAGGTGCGAAATGCCCGCCTGGATACGATTTGGCCGCGGAAATGGGGCTTCGCTGTGTGGACTCGTGGGTTTGATTGCGCGGGGATTCAATCAAGGGTTTTTTGGTCTCCGGGCGTGACTTTTGTGCCTTTGGGAAATAAAGCGCCCGGTACAACGACTGAAACACAATATTCGAAGTACGGAGTGGCGAATGGAATTTCATAGTTTCTCGGGAAAACTGGAAAAGATGGTTGGTCAACCTTTCCGTACGTCCAGTGGGTTGGAAATTAATTTTACAATTTGCTCCGTCCTTTTGGATGACGTTCTTTTTTCCTTCTAGACCTAATGAAGTTTGGCGTGGATTTTATTACAACTGACCCCTGCACTGAATGAACTGTTGTTCGGACAAACAAAAGGTGTCGGCAACAAAATGCACTTTTACCCGTACTGGCGTCAAATATTTCTCTAATGGGCGTTGACACAGCTCGAGGAGATAAAAAGCTGAAAAATCTGTTCCAGCTTCAAAAAGGACATGCCACCCGGGCTCTTTTTTCACGGGCAAAGCGTCGATATGCGCTTTTCGCCGTCGCAAGCATCTCCGAACATTATTACATCCGCTCAAACTCGATAGATCTCCCCCGCACCATGTACAGTCACTCGACACACTGTGCTCGCGCAGTTATCAAAGTTCTCAAAACTTTCCCCCAAAGTACACTCGCCGATTCGCACACGGTTGTACATCCAATAAGTATGTAGCCTTTCCAGTCGGCGATTCGCAATCTTGCCGGCAGTGCCCATAATCCGCGATACTTGGAACGATAGAGCCATAGCGGTGCAGCAGTGCCATTGTAACGATACACGCGAGCATATACGTGGGTCGCGGTATAGTCTCGGGTTTCAAAAGCCGGGAGGGTACAAAAGCGTCGCTTGTACAGCCACCGCCGAGAACAAAACTACAAACATGCACCGGCGGGCCCTTTTCCTTTGTCCAACGCGCGCTAGGAAAGAAGTCCAGTTAGGGGTTGGGGGGGGGGGCAGGATTTCAAAGCCACTGCTCTCGGCTCGCGGAAACGCGGACGTTATCGCGTCGGAGGAAGCGAGAAGGAGGAAGTTGCTCGCTTCGAGCGAGAACTCGGAGGATAAGGAGCGCCAGCCCTGCCAAAGGCACCCCAGCCAAGTCGTCTTTTCCTCCTTTTTTCCGAGACGAGCATTGGAATCTCACCCCATTTCCCTCTAATTACGACGATTCTCCCTCGCCACCCTATCGGATGGAACTCGGCTTCGCCTCATTTTTCCCCGTCACCCTCCCGCTGTAACGCCATTAAATTAATCGCACCGCGAAATAAATGTCGACGTCCCCCCGGACCAGCGATCTCTCGTAGCATTGTCACGCTGCGAAAAGACACAACCCCTTATCACCCATTGCGCGCGCATCCACCAGAATTCGTCAGCCTCCTCCCTTAGCCTAGGCTCACCCCCGACCGGGCTCGGACGACATTCATCGCTCTGTGGCCAACGTCCCTCCTTTACCCGATATCTACGACACGATCGCGCAACACTGGTCACTTACATGCGTGCAAACACGAGACGCGGCGATGGGGAGGAGAGAGAGAGAGAGAGAGTAGTGACCGCAGAGCAGAGGAAAGCAGCTGCAGTGTGTACAACGTGTACGCGCTCTCTCTACCCCCTGGGACAGCTACGTAGGTAGATTTGCTACTTTGGGCGCGTTAATGTGCCTTGGCAGCACGAATTACCGTGCCATTGTTCGCGGGACGCAGTAACGACGCGACGCGCCGAGATTGATGTATGCGTACGGGGCGAGCTCTGGCAGGGAAAAATCGAGCTCGGGGCTCTTGTAGCTGCTCGATTTTTTATCTCAGGATTTGGCCTTAAAGTAGCCGCAAAGCTGGATCCTTAGTCCGACGATCGGAGCGTTAGGTACGGAGGTGAAAGGACACTCTCTTGCCCCGCGTCGGGTGTCATACATGGGACGGCCGTGGTAAAAGTTAAAGGGGATGCTCGGCTTTGAATTTTGGGAGAGGGAGGTCACGATTGACGCTTATTTTAAGCCCTGCAGCTGCGTTGAATCAAAAACCAAGCGCCCCGGGAGATAATGCGTGGAGGCGGAGGGGAGAGAGCTGACCAAACGTTGAGTTGTACTACTCGTTTTGCGTTTCGCGCCAGCGGGACTGCAGCTGTTGGCTGGAGTTTCGGTCTGAATTTAACATTTCGTGCCCGTAACTCGTGCGCTCCTCGTTCGAGGTGCTTTATTCATGGGATAATAAATAAGGGCCGTGTGCGCGCCGGTTTGAAATAAAATTTCAAATTATCTCGCGCGGGCTGGCGCCCCAGCGATGAGTCGAAAAATCAATGTTGCATGAGCTGCATTGTTTAAAGGAGAGAGGGTTTTCAGGAGTGGTGTGGAACGAATTCGTAAAAATAAGTGGTAATCCTCCCGCAAGATCAAAAATGCTCTGTGTGGAAACGACAGCCATAGAAAGTGCAAACAGGTCGGTATTATCATCAAGCGCGGTGGTAACGCGAAGCTGGTGGATTATCAGGGGGAGCAGCGTGACTGTCAACAAAACCGGGGACCCAACCCAGTGATTAATTGCAAAAGACAGGGCGTTGGGATCTGGATGTATCCTGTACATTTAATGGGGGATGATTGATAATTGTACTCCGTCACCTCTGACATAATGAACGAAAACAACGTCGCTGAGAGTGACAGTGCAAATTATTTCTTGGGGTTTTATTGGATGCAAATTGCTTCAGCGGAACAACAAACGACATGGCTGGTGTCTGTTACAATTTGAAAAAATCACGACGAATTGTTTCGCAAATATTGATCGGTGGGTTTGCTTCGGAGATGGAATAGATATACCACTGGTGGGCGCTAACCAAGAGCGTGTATGGGAAATGCGTCGTGGTACGAGCGAAAGTAGGAAGCACGCGTACACGTATATTCTTGGCGGGGATGCCAAGGATAGTGGAGAGACGGAGCACAGCATCAACGTAACAAGGCCGTATAGGTGTACACGGTGGGAGCGTCAAATCCGAATCAGGTGGAGAACAAGAGTCGTACCGCCAGTGGGGGGTGGGACGTCTCTGAGCACTGTGTATGCGTGTGGCACACACATGAGCACCGGCCATCGAGACACGGCCAGGGGACGTTTTCGTTTTTTCTCTCCCAACCTTTTCTTCATCTCCTCCGCGACGTACGTATACGTTTTTCAACAATTCTACGTTTCACCTCTGGCTACAGACCTCCGTACGAGGTAGTCGGACGAGAAAACAGTTACTCTCTGAAGGGGTTGGTATACAGCCGAGCTGATCGAGGGAATGATTAAAAAAAAAAAAAAAAAGATAAAGCAGAGCTCGCGAGCGAATTCAATCCCACTTGTTTCATCATTTTGCGCTTGTAATTAAATTTCGCTTCGCAGTGACGGTGCAGGGGTGGAAAAAAAAGAGCGGGCGCTCGGACGAATAAATATCATCAGCAAATTTCAAATGGAGAGTAATGAACGGCCGCGCGGAAATGAAGAACTCGACAACGTGTTTTTCGTCCCGAGCGCGGGTGATTTATATGGAAATTGTGTAAAATCTGAATACAAATATTTTCATGACGCGCGTACGGTGGGTGTTTTCACGTTTTTGCAAGACTGAATGAGACTCATGGAAATATCTCCACGTAGTAATTTTTTGTTTGTCAAAGGGCCAATAATTTTCCTATATGGGCTGCAGTAGATGTTCGTTAATACGGTGTAATCAATGGCTGAATGTATATTGTCTTTCTTTGAAAAAAAAAATATATAAATATAGCTTCGGTTAAAAGAGCGCAGATAAATGCCACACGACTCGAAGATACGTTTTTTTTTACAGCAGTAATATTTTTATGATTTTGTTATGATTTCTTTTCACAGATTGTAAACTAGGTCGA